GGCAGTTTCCCACAGGGATCCGTCCATCTCCTTCCTCCCCAGCTCATTGTCTGCCCAGTGCACTGAGCACCTGCCGCTCTGTCTCCTGCTTGAGATAGGGAAGAATGGTTATGAGGGCCCTGTATTGGCTTGTCCTGTGGTCCTGTCTATGGAACCGGCGGGGTGCACTGGTTTTGGTCCTGTCCAGTTTTTATCCTCGGTCGTCTTTACTCCAGGCTGAGCCAGGAGCTGCCAGAGATAAAGGAGCAGGAAGCCCCAGAGGACTCCTTGGATGAAATTTACTTGACTCCTTCAGTTCACCATGACCTGTCTGACTGCCACCAGCCTTATAGAGGCACCTTGTCCTCATTGGATGATCAGCTCACATGCTCTGCTCTGGATGTAGCCTGTGAGTACTCCAGCCTGAAGGCCACAAAGCTCCAGTGTCTTCCCAGGCTGCCTCCACATGTTTTCTTTCTGCAACTTGTGCTGCTGAGACAGCTTTCAAAACAGACTGAAAACTGAGTCTGTTTTCAATCTGCCTCTGGGATCCAGTTTTGATCACATACATCCAGAGGGTGAAACTTCCTCTACTCCTGTCCCTACGGACTCCTCTGTCACCTGGCTCCTTCTTACAAGAGTAGACTGTAGGCATGAAAGCTGGAAAGAGGTTAGGACTTTTAGCAAGCTCTTGCCCGCAGTAGCTCATCTAGATATATTTGCACAACAAACCTTCTTCTTAAGACCTGGAATCACTCCTTTCTGAAATTATGTTGTTAACTACATGCCTGGAACAGTGCTATTATCTCTCTCTGGCCACCCACACATGCAAGCAGTTTTGTGCAAATATTTCACTTCAGGGACACCCTAGCCCTGGAACCCCAGCCCGTGTCAGTGTCCCCAGGCACACACAGGAAAGGTGACATCACCTATATTTACATGATGTCTCTCTGTGTGGCCTAGGTCCCTCAATTACTTTAGTGAGTAGGAGAAACAGCAAAGATGGGTGTTTTGGGTGCATTTAACAATGGGAAAACTGAGATTGTTTCTACTGAAGCCTCCTCTCCTTTCAGCTCCCACCCAGGAGACCTGTCCCAAAGGGACTTGCATTGGAGATTTGAGCTACTACCTGTCAGAGGTGCAGGCTTCACAGACACAGCCGGAGCCAAGGACCCTGGTGCCCAATTGTCTGGGACTAGAGCTGGATCAAGGGATCGACTGTGGGAATGGCTTAGCCAGGCGGGGCCTTTCCTCCACCACCTGCAGCTTCACAGCCAATGCTGATTCTGGGACCCAATGTCCCTTTCAAGGTAGGGAAGGAAAGGGG